ATAGCCTATAGCCGGGTAGGGAGAGGCCGTAGAGGCCGAAACAGAAACCGTACCGGTCGGTCAGTCAGTCCGGTCTAGGTCGTGTCTAGGCTAGTCTARAGTATAGATAGGATGGGAACATCGGTCCTGGCCTTTTTTTGCAGTTGACACTTCGTGGTGGAAGTTGCTGCGCACACGGTATCAGGTCGTGGTTGCTGATTCCGAGGTTGGGAGACGGCGGACATAGCCAGACCTTCAGAGCGTTGACYARACWGKGGTCAACGCTGTCCGCTCTGACTCTCTGGGAGTCAAAGCGGTCTGGGCTATCAGMGGTCTGATGTGTTKGAGCACGTGGTGCMCTGCTGACCCTCCTAAGGAGTAGGGTCCCAGTGGCGATGCAGCCATAGCTGCATCTTCTCAGAGATTATCATCGTTTGGACTTCATCTTCATCAGGGACTATTGGCGTTGAGCTTCTTCTTCATCATCWGGGTGGCGATTGGCTCTGGGAGCCTGWTTCACTTTGGCGCAGGCCACTGAGTTGGATGTCAGGGTGGCRCTGGGTGTTACCTGGGGTTCTGGTGCTATTTTTAGTTGCTAAGTGTGTGTGGGGTTGAGGCGCTTCCCCTCTGAGGGTAGCGCAACAGGGTTCTGAGATTATCCAGTGAAAACAATGCTCTGAGTTTAATAAACAGTGATAATACTGTGTTTCAGTTATCATCTCTTCGTTGATTTCTGGATGTGATCACTYGGTTGTCTTCTATGAATGATTGTTGGGACTTGTGTGGAGGGAATTCACTGTACTGTGTATTTTGTCACTTCGCTCCCCTGAGTCTTCCGCTGTGTTCCTTTWGTTGGGCGGTGTGATACTCCACTACCTCTCCCTTTCCTTCTGTGCATGTATGGGCGTGTACGGGAGTTCCTGCGAGTGAGCGTTGATAAAATTTCAACGGACAATCATGTTCATAACAGTTGGTATCGGCGCAGACCGGACCCAGACAGTGGCTAGATGATGGACTGAGGTAGCCATCACTACCTGAGAGCTTCTGACGTCAGGTTTCATGGGGAAATCACATCTTCAGTATTGCCCTCAGTAGGGTGCTGGTGAGGAGCGTGTGGAGGCTAGTATGACACAGAGATTGGTGGCGATTCAGTGCTCAGTGGCCTGGGAGGCACTGAGGGGCTATTTTTCGCCCAGGCGTTGACTCTGCTAGTGGAGAGATACCTGGGGTTATGTCGAGTTCCAAATTTTGGGCCGGATTCAGTGAATTTGACTGATGGGGGTTAATCGCCATATTAATAGCTTCAGTATCACCAAGTTTCAGGAGATTTTGAACGTGGGAGCACCAGGAACAGTGAATTGAAGAAACTGGCGAGATGACAACCATAGCCAGTTCAACTTTTTCTTCCAGTGTTTTGCCCTGAAGTAAGTGTGTTCCTTACTCAAGTCCCTGTAGCGAGTCTGATAGTTGTGATTAGATAGGGGAAAATTGAAACTGTATGTTTGTAGATGGTGAAAATTGAAAATCGCACTGCCTGACAGCCATAACTATTTCCCTTATCTATCTACGTTGACTTTACTGCCTCTGTTTGAC